GGTACCCCTGTATTGGGTCCATATATGTTTAGGATCGTTAGTTCTTCTTGTTGTATCAATCCTTTTACCATTATGTAATGGCCTTCTTTGTCTCTTTTGATCTTTGTTGCTTTAAAGTCTATTTTATCAGAGATGAGGATTGCAACTCCTGCTTTCTTTTGCTCTCCATTTGCTTGGTTAATCTTCCTCAATCCCTTTATTTTGAGCCTTTGTGTATCCTTGCATGTGAGATGGGTTTCCTGGATACAGCACACTGCTGGGTTTTGGCTTTTTATCCAATTTGCCAGTCTGTGTCTTTTGATTGGTGCATTTAGTCCATTTACATTTAGGGTTAATATTGTTATGTGTGAATTTGATACTGCCATTTTGATGCTAGCTGGCTGTTTTGCCCGTTAGTTGTTGTAGATTCTTCATTTTGTTGATGCTCTTTAGCATTTAGTGTGATTTTGGAATGGCTGGTACTGGTTGTTCCTTTCTATGTGTAGTGCCTCTTTCAGGAGCTCTTGTAAAGCAGGCCTGGTGGTGACAAAATCTCTGAGTACTTGCTTGTTCGCAAAGGATTTTATTTTTCCTTCACTTCTGAAGTTCAGTTTGGCTGGATATGAAATTCTGGGTTGAAAGTTTTTTTCTTTAAGGATGTTGAATATTGGCCCCCACTCTCTTCTGGCTTGTAGAGTTTCTGCCGAGAGATCTGCTGTGAGTCTGATGGGCTTCCCTTTGTGGGTGACCCGACCTTTCTCTCTGGCTGCCCTTAGTATTTTCTCCTTTATTTCAACCTTGTTGAATCTGATGATTATGTGCCTTGGGGTTGCTGTTCTTGCGGAATATCCTTGTGGTGTTCTCTGTATTTCCTGCAATAGCCTGTCTTGCTAGGTGGGGGATATTTTCCTGGATAATGTCCTGAAGAGTATTTTCCAGCTTGGATTCATTCTCTTCATCACATTCTGGTATGCCTATCAAACGTAGGTTAGGTCTCTTCACATAGTCCCACATTTCTTGGAGACTTTGTTCATTCCTTTTTGCGCTTTTTTTCTCTAATCTTGGTTTCTCATTTTATTTCATTGAGTTGATCCTCGACTTCTGATATTCTTTCTTCTGCTTGGTCAATTCGGCTATTGAAACTTGTGCATGCTTTGCGAAGTTCTCGTGTTGTGTTTTTCAGCTCCTTTAATTCATTCATATTCCTCTCCAAGGTATCCATTCTTTTTATCATTTCCTCAAATCTTTTTTCAAGGTTCTTAGTTTCTTTGCATTGATTTAAAACATGTTCTTTTAGCTCACAAAAGTTTCTCATTATCCACCTTCTGAAGTCTAATTCCATCATTTCGTCACAGTCATTCTCCGTCCAGCTTTGTTCCCTTGCTGGTGAGGAGTTTTGGTCCTTTCTAGGCGGCGAGGTGTTCTGGTTTAGGGTGTTTTCCTCCTTTTTGTGCTGGTTTCTTCCCATCTTTGTGGATTTATCCACCTGTCGTCTGTGTAGTTGCTGACTTTTCAATTGGGTCTCTGAGTGGACACCCAGATTGTTGATGATGGAGTATTTCTGTTACTTGGTTTTCCTTCTACCGGTCTAGCCCCTTCGCTGTATAACTGCTGAGGTCCACTCCAGGCCCTGCTTGTCTGGGGTGCACCTCTAGCAGCTGCGGAACTGCGAGGGATGCTACCAGTTTCTTCTTCTGCTATCTTTGTCCCAGGATGATGTCTGCCAAATGTCAGTCTTATGGATATAGAGGGGTCAGGGAGTTGCTTGAGGAGACAGTCTGTACTGTGTAGGAGCTCAAGTGCTGAGCTGTGAGCTCTGTTGTTCATTCAGGGCTGCTAGGCTGTTATGTTTAGCTCTGCTGCAACCTAACTCGTAAGAAAACCCCTTTTTTTCTCAGATGCTCTGTCTGGGGGTGGGTTTGGGCTTTCCTTGTGAGTGACCACCTCACTGTCCTGCCCAGCTAGGAGGCAGTCTAGTCACTTTTTGCCGGCCGAGGCTCCGCCCTGCTGGTGTGAGGTTTGCCCTTTTGCTGCAGGCTCTGCCCCTCTGCTGTGGTCTCCGCTCTGTTGCCACGGGCTATGCCCTGCAGCAGAGTCTCTCTGTTGTACCAGGTTGCCTCAGCAACGGCAGGCTGTGTCAGCAATGGGTGTGTACCTCAGTAGGGGCTGATTGCCTCAGTAATGGCTGACGCCCCTCCCCCGTGGAGCTGCGCTTTAAGAAAACCTTTTCACCGGGAGAGTTTGGAATCGCAGTTTTGTTTGTCGCACTGCGCTCCCCCGAACACTGATTCCCTGGGATTCCCTGGGCTGGGTCACAGTTCAAGACCCATTCAGTCTCAAGTTCAGCCCTCTCGGGTCTCAGTTTGCCGGTTCAACAGGGCACCCGTAACAGTGCGCTTTTGTATGGAGCACTGTGGAGCGCCTCTGTGCTCCGGCGCGGGCCGGAGCCGCACCGGCTGCCGGCTGCACCAGCGGAGACCTCTGCCTGGCGTCCCGCGTCTCTTTTATACCTGGGAATTTCCCCGTTCTGTGGGCAACTAAGATCCGTCTGGAAATGCTTCCCCGACTCACCCTCTCCGCGCATCCAGTGAGAGCTTCAATCCTGGGTTGTTCTCACAGTGTCATCTTGAGTCTCCTCCCCAATTATTAATTTTTTTAAGGTCAGGGTCTTGCTTTGTTGCTCAGATGGACTGCAGTGATACAATCACCGTTCACAGCAGCCTCCAACTCCTGGGCTTAAGCAATCTTCCTGCCTTAGCTTCCCAAGTAGCTGAGAACATAGGTGCACACCACCATGCCCAGCTAATTTTTTAATTTTCTTTTCTAGACAGGGGTCTCACTATGTGGCCCAGGGTCCTCCCACTTCAGCCTCCCAAAGTAGATCATTCAAGTTTGAGAACCACCATGCCCAGCTAATTTTTTAATTTTCCTTTCTAGACAGGGGGTCTCACTATGTGGCCCAGGGTCCTCCCACTTCAGCCTCCCAAAGTAGCACATTCAAGTTTGAGAACCACTGGCTCTCATACATTCATTCATTCACTGAGTCACTAATTTTTATTGAAACTTGTTTTATGTTAGGCTCGCCAATCTAGATACTGGGAATATGCTGTTGAACGAGATAGACATAGTCTCTGCTCTGAGGGTGCTCAGATTCCAGGGGTCAAAAGTCAACATGATCAATTCAGAGAATGGAATATAAAGCAGTAATGTGATAGAGAATGAGAGACTGGCTGGCTGGACAGTTAACTGGCAAAGGCTTTGAAGGTGAGAAGGGAACACCTGGAAAAGTGTTCCTGGCTGGGGGAACAGAAGTTGCAAAGGCCACCAAGGGGTAAAGAGTTGATGTGTTCAGGAACAGAAAGGAGGGCAATGTGGCTGAAATGCAGTGAAAGGGAGAGACAGTAAGAAACGGGGCTGGCAAGGAATACAGAGGCCCAGACACATGGGGACTTGCAGGGCATGCAAAAGAGTCTGGATTGCATTCTCAAAACAATGCAAATTCTTCGGAGGGTCTTAGTGGCTTTAAAAGACCACGTTGGTTGCTCTGTGGAGAACAGATAGAGGCAGGCAAGAGTAGGGAGAGTGAAGCAGAGGCAAGAAACTTGAGAGGAGGCCAGAAACCCCATCAGACAGGGCCATGAAGGATTTAGGGGTTTAGGCCCCAAAATGGACTTAGGGCTTTGAACTTGATCCTGAAGACAGTGGGGAACCACTGAAGAGTTTTAAACATCACTGTCTCTGGGACAGCTCATCCTCACCTTCTTCAATGTGTCCACTAAGTGCCAATTCAAACACTGTGCTTCACTTCTCCCATTCAAAGTGCTTGTTCCTAGCCTGAAAGCTGATGCTCTATGCTGGCCTCAAGTCTCTCTGAGGGAAAGTATATGAATGGAGCTGATGGCAAAGCTGTGAGGAAGCCCCAGCTGCAAGGACAGGCAGCTGTGATTTTCTTTTTTTACTCCATGTCCCAGTCTTCAGTTTGTCCCTCAATATAGGATTTAAATGGCCTTCATTTCATTTTGTTTTAATATCAAAAAATTTCATAAACTTAGTAGCAAAATCTCCAAAAGAAAACAAGAAGGAATTATTTTCCAGTCACTTCTACTGACTTACTTATTTCCAGCAAAATGTGATACAATGGTAATCAAATAGGACAAAAGACTGACACACTCCCTCTCTCTCAACCACAAAACAAAGCAAACCAAAACAGACTCAGTCTGTATTTTTCATAATAACAGTGGTCAGGGATTCTCAAGTCCATAGAAAACAATATGCAAATGTAAATAACATGCAAATGTATATGATTATGCAAATTAGGCCAAGTACAATGAGAAAATCCAGGATTTGGGATTTGAAAATAATTCTTATTCGCCTATGTTCTTTAGTGAAGAAATATTTTCTACCCCCAGGATTGACTTACCCTGGAGATTCCTGTTCTCTAAAAGGTCTTTTGAAAACATTTCCCTGGTTTGCTCCATTTCTCTTCTTAACTCTTGGTTTTTCAGTGTTCCCCAAACAAACTGAGAGGTAGTTGTTTGTCACGGTAAAGCCTTGCTCAGAATTGAAAAACATCATTTGTCTTTTGATTGAATATTTATAAAAGTATAAGCAGCAGGTCAGTCCTTGGTTTGTATGACAACCTGCCAGGAGCTGCATGGGCTGGGGGCAGAATTGTACCCTGATGGCAAGGACACCTGGGAGCATTTTAAAGCCTCCAACTCAGGAGGGTAGACATGGGCCCATTTCAAAGCTGTAGGTCAACAGTATCTAGAAACGCACACCGAGTTCATCCCAGGGCCTTGGGAACACACACACACACACACACACACACACACGGATCAAACTTAGCATTTTTACCCACATTATCCTGTCAAACTCCTCACTGTTATCAACTATATTTGTGTCCCCCCGAAATTCATATGTTAAAGTACTAACCCCCTTAAAAAATGAAATAGATTGCAAAACAAAATAGCAGAATGCACTGCTTATGGCAAAAGTAAATATTGTTTCATGAAACTTCTGTCTCAGTTTCTATCTGTACAAATAGATATATATGGGTATTCTGAATGACAATGAAAAATAGGTTCCTTTTTTTTTTTTTTTTCTGAGATGGAGTTTCGCTCTTGTTGCCCAGGCTGGAGTGCAATGGCATGATCTTGGCTTATTGCAATTTCCATCTCCTAGGTTCAAGCAATTCTCCTGTCTCAGCCTCCCAAGTAGCTGGGATTATAGGCACATGCCATCATGCTCCGCTAATTTTGTATTTTGAGTAAAGACAGGGTTTCACTATGTTGGTCAGGCTGGTCTCTAACTCCTGACTTCAAGTGATCCACCTGCCTTGGCCCCCCAAAGTGCTAGGATTACAGATGTGAGCCAATGCGCCAGGCCAAAAAATAGATTTCTTAATGTGGGGTCACAGCCAAAACTGGCTGAAAGCCACTGATCTAGTCCAATACCCTCAAATGTTTTTGTTTTTAAGAGTAATTTATTATTATTATTATATAAGTAATATTTGAATAAATGCTCCTTTTTAGATTCACATCATTAGAGATAAAGCTACAATACTCTTGGACCAGCACTCCCTGTTCTCAAAAGTACTTCCTTTTTTAAAAATAATTTCGACTTTCATTTTAGGTTCAGAGAATACATGTGTAGGTTTGTTACCTGGGTATATCGAGTGATGCTGAGGTTTAGGAGTACAATTGATCCCGTCACCCAGGTAGTGAGCATAGTAACCACTGGAAATGGTCAGTTTCTCAGGCCTCATCCTTCCCCTCCTTGTCCCTTCTGGTAGTCCCCAGTATCTATTTTTGCCATCTTTATGTCCGTGCAAACCCAATGTTTAGCTTCCATTTCTAAGTGAAAACATGCAGTATTTGGTTTTCTGTTCCTGTGTTAATTTGATTAGGATAATGGCCTCCAGGTGCATCTGTTTTGCCACAAGGATATATGACTTCATCATTTTTTATGGCTGCATAGTATTCCATGATGTATATGGAATACTACATTTCCTTATCCAGTTCATTGTTATGAGCACCTAGGTTGATTCCATGTCTTTGCTATTGTGAATAGTGCTGTGATGAACATACAGGTGCATGTGTCTTTTTGGTGGAACAATTTATTTTCTTCTGGATCTATACCCAGTATTAGGATTGCCTGGTTGAATAGCAATTTTAAGTTCTTTGAGAAATCTTCAAATTGCTTTCCACAGTAGCTAAACTAATTTACATTCCTCCCAACAGTGTAGAAGCATTCTGTGTGTGTGTGTGTGTGTGTGTGTGTGTGTGTGTGTGTGTGTGAAGGAGTCTCACTCTGTCACCCAGGCTGGAGTGCAGTGGCATCATCTTGACTCACTGCAACCTCTTTCTCCTGGGTTCAAGTGATTCTCTTGCCTCAGGCTCCCGAGTAGCTGGGACTACAGGCGTGCGCCACCATGCCCAGCTAATTTTTGTATTTTTAGTAGAGATGGGGTTTCTCCATGTTGGCCAGGCTGGTCTCAAACTCCTGACCTCAGGTGATCTGCCTGTCTTGGCCTCCCAAAGTGCTGGGATTACAGGTGTGAGCCACTGCACCTAGCCCACATTCCCTTTTCTACACAGCCTCAAAGCATCTGTTATTTTCTGACTTTGTAATAATGGTCATTCTGACTGGTATGAGATGGTATCTTATTGCGGTTTTGATTTGCATTTCTCTGATGATCAGTGATGTGGAGCATTTTTTCATGTTTGTTGGTTATGTGTGTATCTTCTCAAAAGTAATTCCTATTAGCAGTTTGGTGGGTATCTTTCTAGACCTTTTCCTATGGTTTAACTTAAATAAGAATGTAACTTTAGAAATGACAGAGTAGAGCCCATCTCCATGGCAGGGGATTGGGCTGCCTTGGCCCGTTATCCCTCCCGTCTTTTCCGGCAATTGGAACACTTCCTGTTGTCCTCACATATAACTGCCTGTTGCCCCCTGTCTCAGAGCCCCTCACGCATCCCCTCTGGTCTTTGGCTCGTTGGCTGCCGCCGCCGGGACTTCACCAGCCTTCACATAGGGACTACTGGCCGAAGAGGCATTTGCGGCTCTCCACCGCCCCCAGCCCTGCCTCTCCCAGGCTCTTCCATGGCAATGACAGGCTCAACACCTTGCTCATCCATAAGTAACCACGCAAAAGAAAGGGTGACAATGACCAAAGTGACACTGGAGAACTTTTACAGCAACCTTATCACTCAACATGAAGAACGAGAAATGAGACAAAAGAAGTTAGAAAAGGTGAAGGAAGAAGAAGCTGTAAAAGATGAGGAGAAAAGACTCAGAAGATCAGCACATTTTCAGAAGGAAACAGAGTTTCATCGTTTGAAGAGAACAAGACTTGGATTGGAAGATTTTGAGTCCTTAAAAGTAATAGGCAGAGGAGCATTTGGTGAGGTATGGCTTGTTCAGAAGAAAGATACGGGGCATGTGTATGCAACGAAAATACTCTGTAAAGCAGATATGCTTGAAAAAGAGCAGGTTGGCCACATTCGTGTGGAGCATAACATTCTAGTGGAGGCAGACAGTTTGTGGGTTGTGAAAATGTTCTATAGTTTTCAGGATAAGCTAAACCTCTACCTAATCATGGAGTTCCTGCCTGGAGGGGACATGATGACCTTGTTGATGAAAAAAGACACTCTGACAGAAGAAGAGACTCAGTTTTATATAGCAGAAACAGTATCAGCCATAGACTCTATCCACCAACTTGGATTCATCCACAGAGACATCAAACCAGACAACCTTCTTTTGGACAGCAAGGGCCATGTGAAACTTTCTGACTTCGGTCTTTGCACAGGACTGAAAAAAGCACACAGGACAGAATTTTATAGGAATCTGAACCACAGCCTCCCCAGTGATTTCACTTTCCAGAACATGAATTCCAAAAGGAAAGCAGAAATCTGGAAAAGAAATAGACGTCAGCTAGCCTTCTCCACAGTAGGCACTCCTGACTACATTGCTTCTGAGGTGTTCATGCAGACCAGATACAACAAGCTCTGTGACTGGTGGTTGCTTGGGGTAATCATGTATGAGATGCTCATCGGCTACCCACCTTTCTGTGCTGAGACCCCTCAAGAGACATATAAGAAGGTGATGAACTGGAAAGAAACTTTGACTTTTCCTCCAGAAGTTCCCATCCCTGAAAAAGCCAAGGATCTAATTTTGAGATGCTGCTGTGAATGGGAGCATAGAATTGCAGCTCCTGGAGTTGAGGAAATCAAAAGTAACTCTTTTTTTGAAGGCGTTGACTGGGAACATATCAGAGTGAGACCAGCTGCAATATCTATTGAAATCAAAAGCATTGATGATACCTCAAACTTCAATGAGTTTCCAGAATCTGATATTCTTAAGCCAACAGTGGCCACAAGTAATCACCCTGAGACTGACTAAAGAACAAAGACTGGGTCTTCATCAATTACACATACAAGCGCTTTGAGGGTCTGACTGAAAGTGGGGCAATACCTTCCTACAGGAAAGCAGCAAAATAGTACTCTTGCCACAGAATCTTACATGGAGCAGAGTTCTTTGTACAACATCATGCTTTTCCTCTCACACTCTTGAAGAGCTTCCAAGAAGTTGATGTAACCCACCAATACGTCATAGTAAAGTCTCCTGAAATGTGATAATAAGAGAATTTTCTTCCATAATCCATCTGAAAACTTATAAACAAAGACAACCATTTCTACTACATCGGCCATAAACAGCTTTCCTTCTTCTTCTGAAGCGTCATGAGCCAATTCAACAGGTGTTTTCAAAACAACTTGAGTTTTCCTAAGTTCATCAGAAAGAAGAGGAAAAACAGCCATCATCCAACATTATTGAGATTGTCATGTATAGTCATCAAATATCAGCCGGTTCCTGTGATTTTGTGACATACTGTCTGCCAAGCCCACCAAGTATTTCTTTTTTCTTTATAGCTAAAAGTCCATAGTACTAAGGAAATAAAGCAATAATGACAGTCTCAGCAGCCAGTATCCTGGCTGAAGGAAATGATCCACCACCCTGAAGGTGGTGATGGTAGTTTCTACCCACACCTCAGCCTCAGGAGAGTGGCTTATAGCCTCCATTCATGGTGCACTTTATTTATGGTACTAAGATAAAGACTGTCAGTCCATTGATTTATCTCCTCTCTGCCCCCAATATAAAATACCCATGCTGCTTCTCTGAGTGTTGATGGGGGTTACCAGCTTGATCCACTGTTGCTCTTAGAAGGCCCAGAAAGCCTTTGGGAATTGCCAAGGAATCCTGGATCATATGGAAAATCCTCACTTTCACTTCACGGCTATACCAGAAAACCCCTAAAACAGATGTTGCCACGGACCAGCAATACCTATAAGTACTGCCAATGGGAACTCAGTTTATTCCTTGGGAACCTAACAAGGAGAACCCAGGCAGAGGCAGGAGGCTTGGAATCCTCTTGGCTAAGGTGCTGTTCCTGTTCCTGCAAGGTCTTCAGAACCTCTTTGGAGATAGTGAGGGAACCAGCCCAATAGAAGTACACAGCCAGCTGACAAGTCCTTGTAAAGTTCACTCCTCAGTCCTTGGTGCAACCATGTTTTGTCTCTTCCCTCGGTATTTCTTCTCTCCCAACTTTAGCCATTTTGCCTTGGAATCATGATTACAGTTTTTTCCTTTGCAGATTTTTTTTTTTTTAAAAAAAGAATTCCTCCATGCAACTATTGCTATCCAGATAACATATTTTAAATACATCTCTAATATTTTTAAAGCCAGAACTTCATCCTGGAGGATACTCCTCCCCACCCTCAAGGGTCGCCTGCAAGTTAGGCGGATTGGGTCTCTCTGCTGTGGCGTTCTCTCATGAGCACAAAGTGCCTTCTGTTTCACAGCTGCCACCGCCTTTACAGAAAAATGTGGAGGCTCCATATTAATGCATTATTACTTTTTTAAAAAGTTTTGATAACTCTCAAGGCATCATTTGCACCTGTGTGGGAATTTTGCTTATTGCAGAGCATTGAGGCCGAGCTACAGCTGGGAGCCTGCTTTCTGCCAGTCTTGAGATTGTGAAGATCAGCATTGTAAGGAAAGTAACTCCTACCTTAGCCATTCAGAAAAGAAAAATGGAGTATCAGAGTTACAGTTGTCAGTGAAACTGCTTTGGGTTTTAACCTCTTAGAGGAAGAAAAAAGGTTAAGGAAGTCTCAATTCTTGAAGATGATGTGTTTGCCTCTCAGTCTTTCATTCATAGCCTGCTAGTGAAAATAAAGTAAATGAGATTCTTTTGTGTAACTTTGTAGTCTCTTTGTATTACCAAATAGTTGGGGTGTTGACTCCTGTGTGTTTTGCAATAGTGTGTGGTAAGCCTGGGTAAAGAGAAGTAACTGCAGTGTTAGGAGAGTCTTTTTCTTGGGGAGTGGCAGGATTTGTTTTATGGGAAAATGCCCACATTTTAACTTGTAAACTTCCGAATAAATTGTGTGAAAAAATTAAAAAAAAAAAAAAAAAAAAAAAAAGAAAGAAAGAAAGAAAAAAGAAATGACAGAGTATTATTAGTATGTTATAGAAATGGTTTTTAAATACTATTTAAAATGGGACTGATTTCCTGACATCTTTTGCAGATAGTGCATTCTTAGCAAATAGAAATGCTACTGGCTTTTTATATCAAAAATTTTGTATTCTGCAACTTTACCCAATTTATTAGTTTAACAGTTTTTTGGTGGAATGTTTAGGGTTTTCTATATATAAAACCATGTTGTCTGCAAAGAGAGACAATTTGCCTGCTTTCATTCTGATTTAGATAACTTTTCTTTCTTTTTCTTGCTTAATTGCTCTGGCTAGAATTTCCAGATTGAGTAGAAGTGGCAAAAGTGAGCCCCCTTGTCATGTTCCTGATCTTAGAAAATAAGTTTTCAACTTTTCACCATTTTCACCATTGAGTATGATGTTAGCTGTGGGATTATGTTGATAAACAGTAAAGTTCATGTATGGCGATCCCAGCTTTATTCCTTCTATATCTAATTTTTTAAGTCATAAAAGGATGTAAGAATTTGTCATATTTTTCTGTATCTATTGATATTGTCATATGTTTTCCTGAAAAAATTAAAAATAGAACTTCTATATGATCCAGCAATTCCACTTCTGGCTACATATGCAGAGGAAATGAAACCAGTATGTCAAAGAGGTATCTGCATTCCCATGTCCATTACAGCATCATTCACAATATCCAAGATGTGGAATCAACCTAAGTGTCCATCAATGGATGAATGGACAAAGAAAATGTGGTATACATACATAATGGAATACTATTCGGCCTTTATAAAAAGAAAATCTTGTCATCTGCAACAACATGAATAGCACCAAAGGACATTATGTTAAGCACTGAAGGACATTATGTTAATGAAATAGGCCAGATATAGGAAAACAAATAGTCTACATATATGTGGAATCTAAAAAAGTCTAACTCATAGAAGTAGCAAGCAAAATGGTGGTTACCATGGGCTGAAGGGGTGAGGAGAGATTGAGAAGGTCAGAGGATATGAAATTTCAGTTAGACAAGAGGAATAAGGTCACATCTATTGCACAATATGGTGACTATAGTTAATAATAATGTATTGTATACTTGAAAATTGCTAAAACAATAGATTTTAAGTGCTATCACCTCAAAAAAGTGATGTAGATGTTAATTAGCTTGATTTAGCCATTCCACAAGGCACACATATATCAAAAGATCATGCTGTACAGCATAAATATATGCCAATTTTTTGTCATTGAAAACATATAAAAATTATTGTGGTATACCCAGGCAAGCATGATGCCTGTGGAAGAAGTAACTCAGCAGCAAATTTGGTGCATGCTACTAGACTGAATTCTTTGCCCACCTCCTCCCACAGGTGTTGACACCAGTGGACCCTGCTCTGTCTGACAAATCATATACTTCCATTATCCATACATTGCTTCTCTATAAAATGAGAGGGTTGGACTAGATGGTCTACCTCAAAGGTTCTTTTCAATGCTAAACGTTACATATCTAACATTTTCCAGATGCTGGGCCACCCTCTTGGATCTAGTAGCCAGGAGTTCAGATCAGCAAGGTGATCAGCCATTCTCCATCATGCAGCCCAGAGAAACATAACCTCAACCTTGCTAACTCTGTGTCCAGCCATTGACACCCACAGAGCCCACCCATTCAACTCCAGGCCAAAGAAAAGCATGTGGAAAGAAAGTTGATTTTTCTTAAATTACTGATTTCTACTTCCACAAGAATTAAGTAAAAATCTTTTGAAATATTGGGGAAGAAATAGGTTCTAAAGCACATGAGGAAAGATTAGTCCAAGTGGGCTTAGACTGCATTTTAGTAATGTGGTTTCTCTGCCCCAGGGAGAAGCAAAGATGTTGAAAGATGGGAAGGTCTTCAGAGTGGTGCAAGAGAATTGCTGGGATCCAGAAGTTCGTATTAGAGAAATGGACCAAAAAGGTACTGTAAGAAATGCTGCCAGTGTTAGCATCTGATGTAAAAGCAATGTCTGTGCTTAAAGTTTGTTGACAACTACATGACGGTAACTTCTAACCCTCTTTTCTCTGCCAGGACAAGCTGTTCCAGCTTCACTGTGGGAGGGACAGGGTCCTCCACCACAGTGCTTTTAGAGTTTATATTCAAAATGAGTTATACCCTGCTTTAAAATTGAATGCTATATCATGAAAAAGATAAAAGAGGCATTTTATTAGTCTAAAAAATTAGTTCAAATGTATAGTATTTACTTATTATAAAATCAATTAAAATAGTAAAAATTGGAAATCACAAAACTACGAATGAAAATTGCCTGCTTAGTAAGACTTAAGATCCAATTTCTCTCTGCAGTTTGTCTCACTGCACTCTACACGGAACGTTCCCACCGACACATCAGGGGTGGAAATAGAAGCAGTTAAACAAAGTTAATTGTGTAATCTCAGAATACACTACAATAAAATCAATCCAGAAATTTGAAAGAAGAGAATTAGGAAGTGTTACTTTCAAAGCTGAATTGCTAACAAGCTCTAAGAACATCTTGCACTTTTTACCTTAAATTTAAAAATCAAACGAGTCCTCACAATTTAAAAGAATTTCAGGCCAGGCACAGTGGCTTGTGCCTGTAATCCCAGCACTTTGGGAGGCCAAGGCGGGTGGATCACCTGAGGTCAGGAATTCAAGACCAGCCTGGCCAACATGGCGAAACCCTATTTCTACTAAAAATACAAAAATTAGCCAGGAATGTTGGCATGTGCCTGTAATCCCAGACTCTCAGGAGACCAAGGCACAAGAATCACCTGAAACACAGAGGCAGAGGTTGCAGTGAGCTGACAACGTGCCACTGCACTCCAGCCTGGGCGACAAAGTGAGACTCTGTCTCAAAGCAAACAAACAAAAAATTTAAAGTCTTTCTAAAATATGACATGATGGCCACTTTATGCTTCACCTGTAACTGCCTGGCTGACTGCGCCACCTGAGGAGAGCATGCTCCAAGAAAACGCCGGAGCCTTTCAGACACCTGTGGGCTGCGTCCCTGGGCTGTGATGGGGAACTGACCACCACTGACATCGTCAGAACTACACATGTCCATTGGTGGAACACTGCAACCAGAAAAGAAACAATTCAAACACACGAATAAAAGAGCAGTTTAGCACTACCACCTTCCTAATCAAAGACAAATTATAAGAAGTTCAAACATACACAGAGATGTCAGGAGACATTTTATTCCAAGGTCTGCAAAAAAAGAATCAACCCATCAGCCCAAAATGAGTAGGTGGTCTCCAGCATATTGGAATTTGCTGTAGATACCTTCGTCCAGGTATTGCTTTATATATTTTTTAACAATTAAAAATAGAGCCAGGTATGGTGGCTCATGCCTATAATCCCAGCATGTTAGGAGGCCAATGCAGGAGGATCACTTGAGCCCAGGAGTTCAAGATCAGTCTGGGCAACACAGTGAGATCCTGTCTCCACACAAAAATAATAATAATAATAAATTAGCCAAGGATGGTGGCATGTAGCTGTCATCCTAGCTACTCGGGAGGCTGAGGTGGGAAGATCACCTGAGCCCAGAAGTTTGAGGCTGCAGTGAGCTATGACTGCACCACTGCACTCCAGCCTGGTGGCGAAGCAAGACCCTGTCTCTAAAAAAATTCTTTGTAATTAACAGTATATTTTAGTGGCATTTAAATTGAACTTTGCAGAAGACCTGCAGCACCTCTGTAGAGTACTCCACAATATAGCATATATCACCCTGTTCTAAAAGTATATTGGGGTGAGAGGAGAGCTGGAGAAAGAACATGCTTCCCTGACCTACAGCAAAGAGCAAGGTTTTGTAGGAAATGTGGAGCTACAGCAAGGACCTTTTCTCCTTTTCAAGGAAAAAACTAGTGAGCATGAGACTTGAATGACTGGTGTCAGAAACCACTGCTTATGGCTGCAGGATAAACAAATTGCATGGGTCATCTTTGGTTTTTGTTGTGTGTTTCATTCCTTGGCTGAGAGAAATAGTCATGACCAACCCTCACTGAGTATTTACTTTGTGCCAGGCACTAATCTAAGAACCTAACGTGTATTAATTCATTTAATCCCCACAACAACCTTAGGAAGTAGGCCCTCTTGAAGACAAAAGATTCTTGGTATCCTGGATGCTGGAGTCAAACTCAGGGTCCCATTCTGGGACTCCTTCTAGGATCACTCAGAGGCTGAATTAATGGGGCAGGAAAGGTGGCTGAGAGACATGATCTGTTGTATATGACCTAAGATGGAAGACCTGAAAAAGTCTTGCTTAAATAAAATTTCACAGGAAGAAGGGTAGAAATAACTTTTCAGAAATGGGGTCAGTTAGTTTTCCTTGAATGATCTCATTTGTGTCCAACCTTTACTTATCTCCCTAGAATCTGGGGCTGGGGGCTGAGGGGGGCCTAGGGAGGGACTGAGAGAGGGACACAGGGAGGGAGAGCAGGAAGAGTTTAGGGTGGAGGCTTGCTGCCGCTTGGCCTTGGGAAAGGAAGGAGTGCCCAGGCTGTTCTTCTCACCAGCTTTGCCTTTCTTTGTGTCCAAATCTAGGAGTAACAGTGCAAGCCCTTTCCACAGTTCCTGTCATGTTTAGCTACTGGGTGAGTGTGAAACTGCAAGCCATCTCCTTGGTGTTGAAGGTTCGTGTCCAGCTCCCAAAAAGTGAACAGATGCCTCAAGTCTGGACACCAGTGCCACTGACCACCCCCAACAACTGTCCTCCCCTTTAGAGATCAGCAGGGTCCCCTCTCAGAACTGTCTAGTCTTTGCTCTAGTATGGTAGCCAGTAGCCACATGTTGCTATGTGACCTGCATTATTATTATAGTTCCACTATACAGTGGTTCTAGACCAGCCTTAATCTCCACCAGAACTTACCTGTCTGGTGACTCATTCCTGCAATGCCTTGCTGGGGAATTGACAAGCCAATGTCTTCTGAAATAAGAATGATTTTTGAGATAGGAATGATAAATCATGACACACTGTATTACCTCTCCAAGGGAAAAACACACTTCACAAGGGAATCCTGAAGTTGGATGCTCTTTCCCAAGTGAATAAATCTCAAGCACTAAAAGTTTCAGGCATGAATTCCAGCCTGTAGAGGAAAATTTTTGTAGGGAGCTGGGAGTGTGCTAAGTCCCTGCTCATCCAAGCAGATACTCTCGTGATTTAAGGAGCAATGGAAATACCACCTGTTCTAACACACTTCCCCAACCTGTGTTCATAAATCCATTATTAGCGAGTGACTCTGTCCTTACCTGTTCCTGCGAATGCATTCACTATTTAAAAGTGCCCTGAGACCTCAAGATGCCTGAATTTATCTGACTGGCTACCACTCTGACTAGAAGACTGAGACTGCAGGAGAGGATCAGATTCCTAGCAGTGAGCTGGGGGCAGTGGGGTGACAGAAGAAAGAAAACAGTGAGGAAGGGAGCTTTAGGGAAACCGACAGCAAACTTCATCTGCCTCAGCATTTTGCCAAGGACAGTCCTGAATGTCACAGCCAACAGGAAGGACAGAGAGGAGGACAGGCAGGGACAGGACAAGTCAGTGAGTCAGCCTGGCCACCCTCAATGAGACGTGACAAGGAGGCGCCTTGATGGTGGCCTGGGGCCCTTGGCTGGGCCTAACCTCCTGGGAGGTGGGGGGGCGGGGGCATTGGGGATAGCCCATGCTCATTTCATCTCTAGTGTAGGGATACCAGGCCCACTAATTGTGTCCTTCCCTTCTGATTCTGGCCTCAATTTTTCTAATGAATCAGCAATACACCTGCAGTTTTCTTTGCTTTACAAAGATTGGCTTCTGGGCCAGCCCTTTCCCAATCTGTGCCTCTCTTTTCTGATGTGGTAAAGCCACTGAAAAATGACAAATATTATAGCCTCGAGGAGGCACTGTTCAGAGCAAATGTCTAAAAGAAGTAGGGTGTGTGTGTGTGTGTGTGTGTGTGTGTGTGTGTGTGTGTGTGTGTTTGAGACAGACTCTTGCTCTGCCGCCAGGCTGGAGTGCAGTGGCGCAATCTCGGCTCACTGCAACCTCCGCCTCCTGGGTTCAAGCAATTCTTCCGCCTCAGCCTCCCAAGTAGCTGGGACCAGAGGCGTGTGCCACCAAGCCCGGCTAATTTTTGTATTTTTATTAGAGACGGGGTTTCACCATGTTGGCCAGGATGGTCTCGATCTCTTGACCTCGTGATCCGCCCACCTGGGCCTCCCAAAGTGCTGGGAGTAGGTTTTCAACAATGCAGTTTCCCCTTTTCTGTCTCCACCAGGCCAAACCTCAGGACACTTTAAACCTATGCCAGCTTTTAAACAATGACCTTGCCGCCACCGTTGCGAACTACCCCAGGAGGTTTGTGGGTCTGGGGATGTTGCCCATGCAGGCCCCTGAGCTGGCAGTCAAGGAGATGGAGCGCTGTGTGAAAGAGCTGGGCTTTCCTGGGGTCCAAATTGGCTCCCACGTCAACGAGTGGGACCTGAATGCGCGGGAGCTCTTTCCTGTCTACGCGGTGAGTAGGCGGGGCTGCTCAGCCAACGCCAGCCGTCCAGCGCCTGGGCCGGGGGCACCGTTGGGTGCTGGCGGGGAGGAGGTGAAGCACCACCTTACTGGGAGGGGAGAGCAGTGCCCGCGACTTATCAGATATAGGTAAAAGATGTGGAAATAGCCCCCACAAAGGAGTGGGCCATTCCGAAGAGGAACTGGTAGAATGGTTCCTAGGCCAGCGCTGAGTTAACACAGTGAAATCTTGTGTCCTTCCTTCCCCCTTGCCCTCCTTTCAATCTTTCACTTGAAAGCCAAAATACCCTCTTCATAGTCAGTGTGCAAAAGAATCATGTTAATGACATGTAAAAAAAAAAAAATATTTCGGCCAGGTGCAGTGGTTCCCACCTGTAATCCCAGCACTTTGGGATGCCCAGGTGGGTGGATCACTTGAAGCCGTTAGAGACTAGCCTGACTAACATAGCAAAACCTTGTCTCTACTAAAAATATAAAAAAAATTAGCCAGGCATAGTAGCATGTGCCTGTAGTCCCAGCTACTTGGGAGGCTGAGGCATGAGAATCTCTTCAACCCAGGAGATGGAGGTTGCAGTGAGCCAAGATTGTGCCACTGCACTCCAGCCTGGGTAAGAGAAGCGAGACTCCATTTCAAAAAAAAAATCTGCTTTGGAAAAAGAATACTTAACATTTGTCAAAATTATAAAATAATTTGGAAGAAATTGTGGAAAATACAGAAAAGTATAAAGATGAAAACAAACATTACCCATAATCCAGCCTCTCAAAGATAAATTGCCACTGTTATAGTACATATTCACTTTTTTTGATATGCATATATCTATATTTTAATGAAACTGAAATTCTGTTACACATGTGATTTTGTATGCTAATTAAACATTTCCAACATAAGTGAAAATTCTTTTAATGCCTGCTTTTTAAATAACTGCAGAATATTCCAATCTATGGCTATGTTTTGATTTATTTAACCAATCTGTAATTAAGATACTTTTTAAATCATATATTTTGGAAAATGTTAACATTTGGTGAAACTAGGTGGTGGGCATATGGATGCTCATTGTGTTATCATTTACACTTTCTATACTTAAAATATTTCATGGTAAAATTTATTTTCAAAAATTCAGTCCTATTCATTTCTAAAATATCCAACCTCAAGTGTCCATAGTTTCACAGTCATCTCTATCAGTCTTCTTCTTCTTCCTCCACTTTCAATTCTTTCTATAACCAAACCTTCTCATCTCAGTACTAAGATTCACGATGCATAATTCTTTACTCAATTGCATTTTTTAATGTTTTATTTCCTTCCTAGAATTATAATATTGCTTTCTATTATTTTCATTATAAATGCAAGATCTTCAATAATGACTTAACTAGATGTTTGTGGACTCACCAGGCAGTGTGATTACTGATCATTTACTCATTTAGTATTTATGGAGGTCTAACTACAGGCAAAAAATTTTCCATGTTTGTATCTATGGCGACTGCCCACCAGTCAGGGAATTGCCTGTTAAATTGCCTCCTAATGACTTGAAAGATTTAATGTTCCTCAAAATATTGAACTCCCTGAAGCTTACTGGCTGCAGTGGCTTAGCTGATGCAGTAAATGTTTTCTAGAAACTTTAATGAGCTTTAAAAGAGGATTTATTTACTTATGCATCCAAGTTGTTTCAGCACAGTGTGAGTGAGACTTCAGCTGCAAGTCATTTTAGCATTCATTGGATTTGGACTTATGAATTACTAAGGGGCTTGGAAAGCAACAACAGCCGGTTGGGGTCTACATGGATATTTTCATTTGTGCGACTAGCTCAACCCATCAATCCTTCTAACTGGGCTGTTTTGGGGACATCCAGTCTCTGAGGGGATTCAGGAGCACATCCTGTCCCTAGGTGACTCATGATGTCCTGGGGGTGGCAGCATATTTGTTTGGTTAGCAAGGTTTGCCTGACTCTCTGCTCTCTAGCTTGCGTCAATAATGTGCTGAAACGAATTATGAGCCAAGTTGGCTTTGTCATTTCAAGGTGATCCTGGCACTCCAAAGGTCTAACTGTCCCTTCATCTCCTATACCTCCCTTTTTAGTGAGTAAACCCAATCACACATGCTTAGGTAAGTTTTCAGGTGCAAAAACAACTTCGTTACTGGTATAAGGTAGACAGAATGGTAGTGCCAACTGCCCAGCTCCACCACCTATCAGCCACAAGGCCTGAGTAAGTTAGCCTCTATCTGCCTTAGTTCTCTTCTCTGTAAAACGAGGGTAGTAAAAGTGTGCATCTCATAAAAAAATTAATCTAGTTAATAATTGTAAAACTCTCATAACAGTTGTGGCACATAGTAAGTTTGCAATCAATGTTAGCTATAATTGCGAGAGTATAACTTCTTTTTCTATTCTCTACAAAGCCTCACATATAGAAGGAGATCAACAATATGTTAAAGTGAATTGAACAGAAATAAGCATGGGAGGAAGATTGGTATCAAAAAACTACCTACTGGGTACTATGGTTATTACCTAGGTGATAAAATAATGTGTACACCAAGCCCCTGTGACATACAATTTACCTATATAACAAACCTGCACATGTACCCTGAACATAAAAGTTAACAAAAAATAAAATAAAAAGGAAAAATTGTTAAAAAGAAAAGAACCACCAAAGGCACATAGGCTGAAGCTGTATCAAAATGAGGAGTCAAATCCCACTGAGATACCATGACCATGCACCTTTGCCAAACCCAAACCATCCCAAGAAATCAATATTTTCTTTCCAACCTACATCTACTATGAGAAACCAATTAGCTTCTCTCTCTTTAAAAGGCTTATATCTCTTCTGCTCCCCAGGACCTGTTGAATCAAAAGTCCTTTCTTCAAGTTACCCTTTTCCTGACACTTCCAGAATCCCCTGTTGTCCCAGACTTGGTTTTCCATTTTTAAAATGCTCACGTACACAACTCACATTGCATCAGCCTGGTTAACACAAATATTTATGTATGAGAGTAGGATGAGTCACTGCAGAACCTCAATATATGTGGTGAAGAATTATTCTAAGGGAAATCTCTTTTGAATCTTGATGAGCACTAAATATTCAATGCCTGTTGAGGGGACTTCTTTTAATTAAACTTTTTGTTGAATAAAGGTCATTCCATCCAGATGGTATTTCCATTTTCAGAAGGCCCTGGATCATGCCCATGACATTCATCTCAGTACCTATCTGGCTAAGGCATGGATCTCTTCCCTCTCTGAGGTCATCTCACTCACAGCAGACTGTTCAGAGACTCTGCTGGGCTCCTGGGGTTGTGTGAATGCCTGTAGACCCCAGGGATTCCACTCAGGGCTGGGCTCTGAGTGGTCAGGTGGCTTAGGTCAGACCAGGCAGCCCCAGCCCAGCACTGAGCCTTTAGCGCCAGCCCATCAATTCCTCACTTTCCACAGACTCAGGTTTTCAAGTGGGGAAAAGGAGGGGGCACTCTCACCCTGACTCCAAGGATATAGTCATTTAAGAGCAGTCCTTCCACAATAGTAGAACAAGTTGGAGCCAGCAGGGAAATTTTCCCCTATATTTCAGGTGTGGGATTAGTCCTTGAGCATTTTGCTCTCAGCCCAAACATTTGAATGATGGATGTTTCCTGACACTTGCTTTATCAAATGATAAATTAAGTTCATCAACTTCAGTGGTGAATCTACCAACCCCCTTTGTTAATTCTAAGTGTCCCTTTTATTTTCCAAGCAGGAGCAGTTTGTCAATATCTCTTTTATATAGACCATAAAACAATTTCAAAAGCATTTTAGTTTATTTATGCAGACCAATATAGACTCAAAGAAAAGCAGTTTCCCCAAAACAGTACCTGGTATCTGCTCACTCATCAAAGTAACCCATTCTCTCTCTCTCTCTCTCTCTCTCTCTCTCTCTCTCTCTCTCTCATTGCTTCTTTGAAGGCAGCTGAAAGGCTGAAGTGTTCCTTGTTCGTGCATCCCTGGGACATGCAGATGGATGGACGAATGGCCAAATACTGGCTCCCTTGGCTCATAGGTTTGTGTCTCTGTGGGGTCTGGAACAAAGGACCAACTCTTGGGTTTGTCCAATCATCTATGGAAACCTTTTATGTCAAACAGGGAAAGTATGAATAATTAACAGGATTATGAGTAATAGCAGCTATCACTTGCTGAGCTCTAACTTGGATTACTGCTATATATTACCTCATTTAATTTTAAACATATCCAATGCCATCATAAATAAATCATATATTTAATCTATGAAGTTGACATTATAATGACCATTTCACAGATGGAGAAACTGAGGCTTGGAGTGTTTAGGTAAGTTGCCCAAGTCACACAGTTAATACATGAAAATGTAATTTACAGAGATATGTCTGACTCCAAAGCCAGTCTTGCTATACAGACTACCAAAGAGGCTTCAAAAAATGTAACCATGCCTATCTAGTAGATTTTTTGGAACATAATAATAGCATCAGCTCATACCAATGAGAACCCTGAAATTAAAAGTATATGGTCAACTTCCACCACCCAAAGATTTGAAATATTAGATCAAAGATGACCCAGGCTTACAATTTTCCTAGTATCTGCTTCTCTCTTTTGCCCTCTGGTTCCTGCACTATCCATAGTTCCACAAAAGGGTAGAGGAGAAAACTCCAATTCCTCTATTCAATCTCTCATTACCAGTTGTGATAAGAAGAGATAGAGAACAGATGTAAAATTCTGGAGCTATCGGTGAAAAATACAGCTCACCTATAAATCCAATGAAAACTTGGTCCCCAAATGAAAAGTGCTGGATTTTTTTCTTCTTCTTTTCTTTCTTTCTTTTCTTTTCTTTTCTTTTTTTTTTTTTTTTTTTTTTTTTTTTTTTCTTTGAGGCAAGGTCTCACTCTGTTTCCTAGGCTGGAGTACTGTGGCACAATCTCCGCTCACTGCAACCTCCACCTCCCAGGTTCAAGCGATTCTCCTGCCTCAGCCTTCCAAATAGCTGGGATTACAGAGGAGCAACGCCACGCCCAGCTAATTTTTGTATGTTTAGTAGAGACAGGGTTTCACCATGTTTGGCCAGTCTGGTCTCGAGTTCTAGGCCTCAGGTGATCCACCCACCTCAGCTTCCCAAAGTGATGGGATTACAGGGTGTGAGCCACAGCACCAGAACTGGATTTTCATTCTTCTTTCTCTCCTCAGCCCAATTAGTACAATTAGTAATTATGAAGTAATCAAAATGGCAACCACCATGAAGAATTAAATGGGGCAACATACTAGAAGTCAAAAAATGGAATTTTCATTCCAGCTTAGTCTCTATTTCACTGTATTTCCTGTAGTAAATCACTTTACCTCCATGGGCCCCAGTCCCTCATCCGTAAAATGAGAATGCTGATCTGGATTCCCCCAAAGGTCTCTTTCTGCTCTGGTGTTTTATATATTCCTGTGATTGTTGTTGGAAACCAAAATATTTAGTAAAGTAGCTTCCTACTCATTCCACCAAATTCTTGGGCAGTAACTAATAGAACGAGATAACCCAAGATGCCCAGATACTGTCAAGCTTCAAAGAAAAATGTCACCGTTATTCACAAAACTTTGATAAGTCCCATAAGCTTATTTATACTGCAACAGGAGAGCATCTGCATATACAGTCATTTCACCATCCATTTAAGCAGCACAAATGCACTGATTCCTTCTAGCATGCCACGCCCTGTCACTGTCACTACAGATACAGACATGAACAAAACCTCTGCCTTCATGAAGCTTATATTCTGGTTAGAGGAAGGAGATTCTAAACAAGTATATGTGTCACAAGCAAACAGGCTAATTTTGGAATTTTATTCTGGATGCAAAGGTAGTTATCAGTGGAGTGGGGGATTCTCAGCAAAGAAGGGTCATGATCCAATTCACACTGTAAATGTAACTCTGACTCCTGTATGGAGAATGGATTGTGGGGTTATGGTTCAAGTGATTACTGAAAAATAGAATCACAGAACTAGAAGAAAGTGATGCCGTCCATCTCTCTGCCTTCAGGAAGTTCTGCCCACAAACTTCTCCTAAATGGGTATAAATTCATCATGCTTCCAGAATTCCCAGGCAGGCGGTGCTAGGGGTATCTCTGCCTGTGAAGCAGTGACCAGCCCCAGGCAGAATGAGCATCCTGCGAAGCCTCACTCCACAGCCTACAGAGTCAGGCTTCCCTAGAAAGTGCAGTGCACAGCTGTAGAGCAGTCAGATTTCTGAGTCATGGTCTGAAAAGCAGTCAGTGGCAATGTAGCTTGGACTGGCTCCTCAGCAATGAAGACATTAGACATGGACCAGGTGTTATCCTAGGAGCACAAAACACTTGAAATAATTCATTTTAATCCAGTTATTTTCAACCTTAGCTACAAGAGGCAGTAAAGATTTGGCAGGAACGATCGTGATAGTCACTATTTACTGAGCCTTTACTAAATGCCAGGTGCTGTCTGCCAAATCCTCAAAACAACCCACTGCAGGAACTCGCCATTTTACAGATGAGGAAATTGAGAGAGAGGCAACTAATATTTTTGTTGAGCACCTCCATTGTGAAGTTCTGTCCAGGAACTTGGCTGACATCATTATTAGCAAGGCTCCACAATAGTCTTGCAAAATGGGCAACACAAACGTCATCTTACAGATGAAGTGCAGGCTCAGAGCCATGAAATAACTTGCCAGAGGCCAGGAAGCAGAAACTGGAGGAGCTAGGGTTCAGCTCAGACTCGGCATACTCTACTGGTCTCATTGCATCCCAAACTGAAGTCGGGAGAATTAAGGCAAAAGACAGGTCCTCTGGCTCCTCAACTGCTCTAGCGATTAGACGACTCTCCCTGCAAGTGGCAAATAGGACATTTTATTTGGTTCTCCCTGCCAAAGTAATCCCCTATAATACAGCCAAACGATGCCAGGGTACAGGGGCCTCAAGTTTCTTTGCACTGACAATTCCCTAGCCACAACATCACTGAACTTTTTCTTGTGTGGGGTGATCATCCCTGATCTTTGCAACTATTTCTCTTCTTCCAGGAATGCCAGCAGAGACCACAATAGCCATTTGTTCCATGATCATGGGTGGAGTGTTTGAGAAGTTTCCTAAATTGAAAGTGTGCTTCGCACATGGCGGTAAGACCCTATCTTTATTAGTCAGCTCAGGCTATCATAACAAAATGCCACAGATTTGGGTGACTGTAAGACAACAGAAATTTACTTTCTCACAGACCTGGAGGCTAGAAGTTCAAGATCAAGGTGTTGGCAGGGTTGGTTTCTAGTGAGGGCTCTCTTCCTAGCTTGCAGATGGCCACCTTCCTCACATCGCCTTTGGTTTCTCCTCCTCTTCTTACAAGGACATCAGTACACCAGTCCTATTGGATTAAGGCCCCACCTTATGACCTCATGTAACCTTAACTACCCCCTTAAAGGTCCTTTCTCCGAGTATAGTCAAATTTGGCATTAGGGTTTCAGCATATGAATTTTGAAGGCATACGATTCAGTTCATCACTTCCTTCCGGCCATCATTCTAGTCATTTAGGGACCAAATTCTATTTTTGTAGGCAAGTTTAGTTTTGTTGTCACCATTTTTGTTTTACTTTTTTTGTCTGTTTTTTATTTAAATCCCTCTAGTTAGATCATGAGCTCTCCAGTCTGCAATAGTCCCTACTATTTTTTATTATTTACAAATAGGCCTATTTCATTCATTTACACTGCCTGCCTGATCCCTCTAGGTAATTGAATTTGTGACCCTTCAACAGACACAGACACATAGACACAGACACACACACACACACACACAAAATATAAAACTATACATGTTACTCTCTATGCCTTTCCTTCTCAACAGCATAGAGAAGACATCTTTCCATGTCAACAAATACAGAGCTTCATCATTTTTTATAGCTTCGAGTATGGCCTTACATTTCATGGATACACCATCATGATTTATATAGTCCCCAAATGATAATGCTGTCTCAGTATTTTGCTATTATAATCACACTATATTTGAAAACCTTAATTGCATATCTTTACACATTTATCTTCTCTCTTTAGGGTGAATTTTTCAAGTCTGAATTTCTAGATGAGTTACTGTCATTTCTTCCATCATCTCCCAGTGTTCAGAACACAATAGGTCCTTTGTAATTACTGTTAATCAGTTGGGCAACAGTAACTTCTTGCATGTAACATCAAGAGGAAAGGAATACTTTACAATCAACACTAGCCCCTCAGTCATGGGTTTTACTTGCAGGCGGTACCTTCCCCTTCACAGTGGGAAGAATCTCCCATGGATTTAGCATGCGCCCAGATCTGTGTGCCCAGGACAACCCAACGAACCCAAAGAAATACCTCGGTTCCTTTTACACAGATGCTTTGGTTCATGATCCTCTGTCCCTCAAGCTGTTAACAGATGTCATAGGAAAGGTAAGCCCAGTCTGCCACTTAGATGTCTCATGGGGAGCAGAATGCTGCATCAGCAACTTGTTACTTGGCCTCTCTCCAAAAAAGGGATGGAAGAAACACATTAGATGAAAGGAGAGAGACAGTGAGGTTTGGGATTAGGTTTGCTTGCACAGGGGATTCTCTCTGAGGCCTCCCTCAACACAAAGTGTATAATACTAAGAACTATTAGATATGCCAGGGAAATCCCAGATAATCTACATGGTTTGGTATTCTCCCACATCAGCTCCTCTTCCTTAGGGACATCTCTATATACACCCAACATGACACATGGCAATGTAGTAAGCAGGAAAGAACCACAAGTTTCAAAGTCAAATTGACCTGCGTTAAAACCCTGGCTCTACCTTTCACTACTTGGGTAAATTGTGAATGCAACCATCCTCATCTACTATGTGAAGAAAACTGGAAAATTGAAAAGGGTAGAAATGCATAGTTGGGAAACTGCATTGGACAGGGAGTCAAGGGAAAATGGTGAAGGGTCTTGTGTATCATGCCCTGAAATTTCTTCCTGGAATAATATGGCATTTGATTCTCTTATTTAATTAAAAAACCAGCATGGTAGTACTGTAAAGCCCTCAAAATAAAATCTTTCCTCTGATGTGGTCTCATCACAAATCTCTCTGTTGGTGGCACATCCACCTTTAAGTATTCTTTTAAAATGCTAACCCAGCAAGTTTGAGAATTTCTAGAGGGAAAGGCCATAGTGAAAAGTCTAAAATATTTTGTATTTCAATTCCATCTTACTACTTACAGATATCTATAGAAGATTTCCAAATTTTCCCAAGAGAAAAATCTTTGGGGTTAAAAGTTAAAAATTTGCAATATGATACTTGAGTTGAGTTTAGACTCTAAGGTTTAAAAAATCATGTCTAGCAAAAAGAGGCCCATCATTTGAAAGTTGCAAGTAGTGTCCAGAATGACACTTTATCTTGCATTAATGCTGACTGTTTCTCTGGCTTGAGAAAATCACCAGAATATAAATGTTAAGCATTTTAGCTTGGTAATCAATTACGTGGTTGAGCTGTGTCTTTGAGTTGTTTAGCTTTTGTGTCACCCCTGCAGAGATGGATGGTTAGCAATTGGTTGTGACTGTTGGTTTTTTTGGTTTGGATGGAGCATGATGAGGAGGTCAGTAAGCACAAGACAGTACAGGGCAGAAACTGAAAGAAACTTTGTAGGCTCTGGACATTGAGCAATGGAGGAAAGGAAGAGGGAAAATCACGTGGGATTGGGGAAAGGGCTGTTCTTATTACATCCCATCAAACCTAGAACCCATTCATATTCTTGGAAACTGAAACATCAGGAGAAAACACCATTGGCAAATCCAAAGCCCAGGCCGATATCCATGATGGACATCAATGTGAATTCTTCAATAAAATACTGGCAAACCAAATCCAAGAGCACATCAAAAAGCTTATCCATCACAATCAAGTCAGCTTCATCCCGGGGATGCAAGGCTGGTTCAACATACACAAATCTATAAACGTAATTCATCACATAAACAGAACCAAAGACAAAAACCCACATGATTATCTCAATAGATGCAGAGAAGGCCTCCGACAAAATCCAACAGCCCTTTATGCTAAAAACTCTCAATAAACTAGTTATCAATGGGACGTATCTCAAAATAATAAGAGATATGACAAACCCACAGCCAATATCATACTGAATGGGCAAAACCTGGAAGCATTCCCTTTGAAAACTGGCACTAGACAAGGATGCCCTCTCTCACCAGTCCTATTCAACATAGAATTGGAGGTTCTGGCCAGGGCAATCAGGCAAGAAAAAGAAATAAAGAGTATTCAACTGGGAAAAGATGAAGTCAAATTGTCTCTATTTGCAGACGACATGACTGTGTATTTAGAAGACCCCATCATCTCAGCCCAAGATCTCCTTAAGCTGATAAGCAATTTCAGCAGTCTCAGGATACTATAAGCACCTTCAATGAGCACCCAGTGCAATATACATTGGCCAGGGGACAGGAACAGAAGAGGAAAAATATGGCAACCACTTCATGGTAACCAGTGGATAGAGTAGTTAGTGAGCACATGTGAATACATTCCTATCAAGGACCTCCAGAAAAACATAGCAGGTACTTTACAAAGTCCTTGGTGCTGAGATCTTACATTCAAACTATGAAAGCTTGAGCTATAATCATTTGGGCATCAAAAGCAAATGTGGCTGGGCACAGTGGCTCATGCCTGTAATCCCAGCACTTTGGGGGTCCAAGGTGGGTGAATCACCTGAGGTCAGGGGTTTAATAGCAGCCTGGCCAACATGGTGAAACCCCATCTCTTAAAAAAAAAAAAGAGCAAATGTAACCTTATTTTATGCAATCTCATAGACTTGTGAATCCAGGACATAGAAGCAGTATATATTAATAATATAGGATTATTTTTAAAATATTAATGCGTCTTCATTCTAGTCATACTCACATTAGCAAATTCTCTTTTAAAACAATCCCCAAATCAGAATGGCTAAGGAAAGTCCTAGCTGGACATCTGGGCTAGAGAGCAACGTGGCCAGATTTGAGCAAGAAGACAGAATGCTGTGGAGGCAGGTCTCTAGAAAGAAAATAATGAAACGAATGAATTATTTGATCTGTCTGAGAGTTGGAAATACTTATTGACAGACATTTAACAGATCTGTTGATACATTAGGAATGAAAGCAGGATATATATTAAAAAATTAAGCAAATGAAAGAAATGGAAATAACTCTAAGAAAAAAAATCTATGAGGGGCAATAATCACTGTACGTTATTTGACTCAGCAGTGAGCAATATTTGTTGTCATAATAGGGTAAATATTAAGTACTGGTTTAACTGAAAATCATAATTCTATGAAGAAAATAGAGACAGTGAAGTAAGAAAGAAATTCTCAATGACCATAATGGGAAATCACTAAATATTCTCTAAAATTAGTAAATTAAGACACAAAGTATAAGCTTATTACCTGGGATTATAAAGGTAATTGTCAAATGATGCAAGCTAAAATGGGAAAAGTGGCTACCTTAAGGGATAAGAGTTGGGAAAGTAAGCCAGGGTTTCACTGTTACCTAGGCTGTAGTGCAGTAGCATCACAGCTCACTGCAACCTCCACCTCCCGGCTCGAGGCATCCTCCCACCTCAGCCTCCCGAGTAGCTAAGACTACAGGCACACACCACCACACCCGACTCATTTTTGTATTTTCTGTAGAGACAGGGTTTTACCATGTTGCCCAGGCAAGTCCTGGACTTAAGCAATCTGCCTGCCTCGACCTCCCAAAGTGCTGGGATTACAGGCATGAGTCACCATGCCTGGCCAAAATATGTTTTTAAAAAAGAGCTGCTTTTGAAAATAGAGATTTTTAGTAATATTTGATTGTTTATGCATAAACATTATTTTGATAAGTACAATTTTTTTTTTTTTGAGACGAAGTCTTGCCCTGTCACCCAGGCACGATCTCAGCTCACTGCAACCTCCGCCTCCCAGTTCAAGCGATTCTCCTGCCTCAGCCTCCCAAGTAGCTGGGATTACAGGTGTGCACCACCACACTAGGCTAATTTTTTGTATGTTTAGTAGAGATGGGGTTTCAACATATTGGCCAGGCTGGCCTCGAACTCCTGACCTCGTGATCCACCCACCTCAGCCTCCCAAAGTGCTGGGATTACAGGCATGAGCCACCACACCCAGCCTATAAATACAAATTTTAAATAACATCTTAAGAATATGCAGATATATGTTATATATAAAGAACCCAAACAGTTATCAAGCACTTCCTATTTCTAAAACTCTGCTATTTGGTCAAAAAGTATTTAAATTACATAATCTCTTGGCTTCCTTCCACCTCTAAAATTCTTTTGCTTTTGAATTCTTTGCTTTGATTTTTAAACATGGATGCAAAGAATGCAGGTTATAGATTATCAGTCTATCACTGTGATAAATAGAAAAAAAGAAAAACTATAGTGCCTCCCTATATTAACTTGATCACAGAAAATACACTTCACATATTTAAGTGGATAGATTTTTGAGAAGTTGGTCATATGCTCATTATAGTTATATCATAATTTTGGCTAGATCCATTGGTAACCTACTGCTGCGTAATTACATACTCATACATCACCTAACAGTGAAGATATGCTCTGAGAAATGCATCATTAGGCAATGTTGTGGTTGTGTGAATATCACAGTGCCCTTACACAAACTTTTATGGTACAGCCCACTACACACCTAAGCTATATGGTATAGCCTAGTGCTCCTAGGCTACAAACCTGTACTTGTTACTGTATGGAATACTGGAGGCAACTGTAACCCAATGGTAAATATTTGTGTATGAAACATATCTAAACGTAGAAAAGGGAAAGTAAAAAGGTGTAAAAGATTAAGAATGTATAGGTCACTTATCATGAATGGAGCTTGCAGGACCGGAAGTGTCTCTGAGTCAGTGAGTGAGTAGTGAGTGAATGTGAAGGCCTAGGACACTACATTACTGTAGACTTCATAAACACACTGCACTTAGGCTACGCTAAATTTATTTTTATTTTTTATTTTTTGAGATGGAGTCTCACTCTGTCGCCCAGGCTGGAATGCAGGGGTGCGATCTTAATTCACCGCAACCTCTGCCTCCTGGGTTCAAGTGATTCTCCTGCCTCAGCCTCCTGAATAGCTGGGACTATAGACACGTGCCACCACACCTGGCTAATTTTTTGCATTTTTTTAGGAGAGAGACGGGGTTTCACCATGTTAGCCGAGATGGTCTGGATCTCCTGATCTCATGATTCCCCCACCTCAGTCTCCCAAAATGCTAGGATTACAGGCATGAGCCAACCGGCCCAGCCACCATGCTCAGCCAATTTTTTTTTTTAATTTTCTTTCTTCAATAATAAATTAACTTTAGCTTACTGTAACTTTTTTATTTTATAAAGTTTTAAATTTTTTAAACTTTTTGACTTTTGTAATAACAGCTTAAAATAAGAACACACTATACAGTTGTACAGAAATATTTTCTTTTTATCCTGATAAGCTCTTTTATATTAAAAAAATTTTTGCTTTTTAAACTTTTTTGTTAAAAACTAAGACTCAAGCACACATATTAGCCTAGGCCTACACAGGGTAAGGGTCATCATCGCTGTCTTTCACCTCCACGTCTCGTCCCACTGGAAGGTCTTTGGGGGCAATAACATACCTGCAGCAGTCATCTGCTATAACAATGCCTTCTTCTGCAATACCTCCTGCAGGACCTGCCTGAGGCTGTTTTACAGTTAATTTTTTTTTAATAAGTAGAAGGAGTATACTTTAAAATAATGATAAAAAGGATAATATAGAAATTATATAAGCCAGTGCCATAGTCATTTATGTCATTACCAAGTCTTAAATACTGTACATTATTATCTGTGCTATATTTTTTTTTTTTAAGACATTCTCACTTATCACCCAGGATGGAGTGCAGTGGCATGATTTCAGCTCACTGCAGCCTCCACCTCCTGGATTCAAGTGATTCTCATGTTTCAGCCTCCCAAGTAGCTGGGATTACAGGAATGTACCACCACACTCAGCTAATGTTTGTAGTTTTAGTAGAGACAGGTTTCACCATGTTGGCCCGGCTGGTCTCAAACTTCTGACCTCAGGTGTTCCACACACCTTGGCCTCTCTAAGTGTTGGGATTATACGCCTGGGCCACTGCACTCAGCCAATCCATGCTATACTTTTATAGGCCCAGCAGGGATAGGTTTGTTTACATCAGCATCACCACAAACACTTGAGTAATGCATTACACATAATAGTAATAATGCAAAATGTATCACATTATGAGAGCTATAATATCACTAAGCAAGAGAAACTTTTCAGCTCCATTATAATCTTATGGAACCACCATCACATATGCAATCTGTCATTGACCAAAACATCATTATGTGATGCATTACTGTAATTACCCCAAAACTTAGTGGATTAAAATAAGCTATATAAACAACAATAAACATTTATTATCTCTCATGGCCTCTATACGTTAGGAATTTAGAAATAGCTTAACTGACCCAAAGTCTCTCGAGATTACAGGCAAGGTGTCAGTTAGGGCTGTAGTTATCTAAAGGTTTGGCTGGGCTGAAGAACTTATATTCAAAGTGGATTTTACCTGTGAGTGGCATATCAGTGCTGGGTTTTGGTGGGAGGTCTCAGTTCCTCTCCAGGTGGGTCTCTTCACAGAGGTGGTGAGTGTCCTCACAGCATGGCTGCTGGATGCTCCCAAGAGGGAGTTATCTTAGAGAGAAATGGGGAGAGATGGTAATGGAGACAGAAGGGAAGGAGAGAATGGGAGGGGGAGGGGGGGAGAGAGAGAGAGAGACAGAGACAGAGAGAGAGAGAGAGAGAGAGAGAGAGAGAGAGACAGAGAGAGACAGAGAGAGATTGAGCACACACCTGACAGAAGCCATTCTTTTCATATCTTAAGAGTCAGAAGTCATATAGTATTAATTCCACCACATTTTATTCATAGAAGCAAGTCATTTTATCTGGCTCACATTCAAGGGGAGTAGAATTAGATCCCACCTTTTGAAGGGAGGCATAACTACCTCATTCCTCTCTCTGGCCACAAATTATTTATCCTTCTAAATGTAAAACCCGCCCCTACCAAGACTGCCCCAAAAGTCTCATCCATTTATAGCATCACTTTAAAGTCTAGGATTTCGTTGCTTAGGTGAACTTGTAGATGAGGCTCCTCATGTATACTTTCTCCAAATCTGAAGAACTATGGACTGAACAGATAAATTCCTTTCTTCCCCACACACTCAATGTAAAATGGCGAGACAAGCATAGGATAGTTGCTATCCTTCCCATTCTAAAAGGGGAAAACAGGAGGTTCAGAGCAGTCACAAGCCACCAGCAAGTCTGAAATCCATCAGGAAAATATTGTTAGTTCCTTTATTAGAACTCAAAGCATAGAAACTATTCAACGTAGCTGTTTTGTTTTGTTTTTGTTACAGGGTTTCGCTCTGTCACCCTGGCTGGAGTGTAGTGGCACCATCTCAGCTCACTGCAACCTCTACCTCCCAGGCTCAAGGGATCCTCCCACCTCAGCCCCCTAAGTAGCTGGAACCACAGGTACATGCTATCATAGCTGGCTAATTTTTATATATTTTGTAGAGACAGGGTTTTGTCATGTTGCCCAGGCTGGTCTCAAACTCCTGGACTCAAGTGATCCACCCACCTCAGTCTCCCAAAGTACTGGGATCATAGGTGTGAGCCACTGGGTGAGGCCAATCCAATATAGCTGTTGCTTCTACCTTCTCAGTCATCTTTCCTTTTCCATGAAAGCCTGTGTTTGTGGCTGAGCAGTTTTTACGGCTGCTTCATCCCTGTACATGTTTTAAAGTCGAAAGGTTTATTTTCCTTTTTTGTATCTATTCCTTTCAGTCCAAGTTGGTGGTCTTTCTGCTAATACAATTCCCTTAAAAACCAAATAGGTCTTTCATGAATCCTATTAAGTTTCACATCATTAGGCAAAACACTTAGCCACAAATCTCTGAGAAAAGCCTTCCTCTACCTTTGGGTTTCTGCTAAGGTGGCTGAGAGACAACAGCCTTAAGCTTCCGAGAAGCCCTTCTTGTTTGGCTGAATGCCTTTTTGAGGCACTTCCTACAGCAAAACCCTGTATCAAAAAAAAAAACAAAAAACAAAAAACAGCTACATTGAATTGTTATAACAAAGACATTACAGTCACAGCTTGGCTTCATTTTTTTGACTCCATTTTTCCAATTGTGCCCTGGATTTAGTTTTGCCAGAAATCCATATCTTAATTTAGCATAATTTGCTATAGGAGAGGCTGGAAGTTTTCAAACTCAACAATCCCCATAGTACCAGCCAATGGCTCAGGGGTTGGGGACCCCTGCTGTAGGTGACAGCATTGCTAAATTTTTGCCACCACCATAGCAAGGATCACCTTTCTTCTAGTTTCCAATCATATTCTCCTCATTCTCCTTTAAGCCTTTAGTGCAACCTTCTCACAGGCCACTGGGCTTCTAATAAGAGTCTTTAAAGGACCTTTGGTCTTTTATTATTGTCAAGGGCCTTCCAACTTCCTCCCACTAATCAGTTCCAAAGCCACTCCCACATTTTCAGGTTTTTGTTCTGGTAGCACCAAATTTCCAGGAAACAAACTCTGTATTAGTTACATGTCGCTGCATCACAAATTAACCTAAAACTTAGTGGTTTAAAACAAGAATGCCATGCCTGTAATCCCAGCACTTTGGGAGGCAGAGGCGGGTGGATCACGAGGTCAAGAGATCGAGACCATCTTGGTCAACTTGGTGAAACCCCATCTCTACTAAAAATACAAAAAATTAGCTGGGCATGGTGGTGCATGCCTGTAATCGCAGCTACTCAGGAGGCTGAGGCAGGAGAATTGCCTGAACCCAAGAGGTGGAGGTTGCGGTGAGCTGAGATCGCACCATTGCACTTCAGCCTGGGTAACAAGAGCGAAACTCAGTCTCAAAAAAAAAAAAAAAAAACAAGAATCCATGTTTATTATCTCATTCACTTTCTCTGGGTCAGGAATTCAGGAACCCTCTGGCTTGGAAATTCTGGCTCAGGGTTCCTCTTCAGGTTCAGTAAGATGACTGCAGACCACCAGTTTCTTCTTTCCTTCCTTCGTTGTTTTATTTTATTTGCATGCTATTTACACAAATTTAATCCCAACCTCTCCACCAGTTTTGTGACTTTCCTCTCAGTACATTCAGACACAAAGACTAACACTAGTCTATTATTTCTGTATTCTTAAAGAAATAGCTTCAGGAGCCTTCTGATGCTCTAATTGGGACTGAGTTGTTATTTAGACCTGCTGCACAGCTGTCATCCTGAAATCTCTCTTCATGAGGATATTCTCAATCTCTTTCTCTCATTGGATTTTCTGTTTGCTGAATCTCATTATTTTCCTGTTTCTTGGTTTTATTCCTTCATCTTGGTGGATAACATCCTTCAACAACTTTCAGAGAAGGAAGTATGAGGGATGAACTTTTCAAAACCTTGTTTGTCTCTGTACTCAGAACTCAGTTCATTCTCATGACTTAAAACTAGTGCAGGCCCCAGAAAACCTGGATCTTCCCTATTTGGGCTTGCATGAAAAAAAAAGTCTTTTGAAAATAGAAAAAAAAAAAACACTGTTTATCTAAAAATGTCTGTATTCATCCTTCAAAATGAGCTAATTGTTTGGCTAGGTGGTAATCCTAGCTTGGAAGCCATTTTTTCCCTCAGAATTTTAAAGTCATTTTTCTCTTATGTTCTGGCTTTTAGAGGTGCTGTTGGGTAATGTAATGACATCCTAATTTTTGAAATTTGTATAAAGCCTGCTTCTCTCTCCTACTCACCACAACTTGAAAGAGTCAAAGAATTTCTTTTCGTCCTAAAATTTTACAATGATACTACTTAATGTAGGTCTATTTTCACCCATTATGCTAGTCATTTGGTGGACACTTTCATTCTGTAAATTTTCTTAAATTATTTCTTTAATGATTTCCTTCCCTCTGCTTTTTCTTTCTAGAATTCCTATTATTCTAAAGTTGAACCTATTTTTGTTTTCTGTCTTACATACCACCTCTTTGAACTTTTGTTTATACTTTCTGGGAGATTTTTTTCAACTTCATTTAAAAATCCTTCGATTTCATTGGTCTTTCAATTTCCGAAAGATTATGTTTCTTGTTCTCTGAATTTTTTCAAATATCCTGTTCTTGTTGGGTAGGTGGAATACCTTTTCTTATCTCTCTGAATATACTAAGAATTTTAGGAAGTTTACTTATCCCTACAAGTCTACTTTCAGGTGGCTTTTTTGCCTGTTTTTTAAAGTCTCGGTCTTTCATATTAAAGGTTTTTCTCAAGTATCTATACTTTGAGCATGTAAAATGTTTTAGTATCTGGCTCTTGGGGTAGTTAAAACAAGAAAGAGGTAATAGTTGCACAGCATTGTGAATGTGCTCTATGCCAATGAAGTGTACATTTTAAAAAGTTAATTTTGAGAGAACGATCCAAGATGGCCGATCGCTAACATCCCGGGATTGCAGCTCTCAGGGAAGGCACGGAGAACTAGAGGACGCCACACTTTCAGACAAAGTCTGGTCGCTCACGGAGCAGAAGATCCCCCAGCGGTGGAAACACACGAGTCGCCAGCGCGACTCTCGTGGTCGGCGCAGCGGTTCCACCGGCACCTCGACGCGGCAGCGCTCGGCGCAGAGTAAACGGGACCGCTTCCCCTTCTGACCGAGGTTTGGAGCCCCGGGAAGGCAGAGTCGCCTACTACGGAAACAAGAAGGAAGCCCGACAGGAGAATCCTGGGCAGAAAAGCACCATCAGTTTTAACGCCGCTGCTCTGGCCCTGGGAACTAACAACCTGGACGTCCACTCAAGAGACCTAATCTGAAAGTTGGTAATTTCAAAGACAACAGAGGATAAATTTACAATGACGGGAAGAAACCAGCGTAAAAAAGCTGAGAATACTCAAAGTCAGAACGCCTCTCCCTCTAAAGATGATCACAGTTCCACATCAACAATGGAACAAGGCTTGATGGAGAACGAGCGCCTCCTGATGACAGAATCACTCTTCAAGGAATGGATAATAACAAACTTCGGTGAGTTAAAAGAACATGTTGTAGCCCAACGTAAAGAAACTAGGAACTTTGAAAAAAGGTTTGATGAAATCCTATTGAGAATAGACAACTTAGAGAGGAGTATGAGTGAATTAATGGAACTGAAGAATACAATACAGGAACTCCGAGAAGTATGCACAGGTTTAAACACTCGAATTGTTCAAGCAGAAGAAGGGATATCAGAGGTCAAAGTCCAACTTAATGAAATAAAACGTGAAGAAAAAATTAGAGAAAAAAGGATAAAAAGGAATGAGCAAAGTCTCCAAGAAATGTGGGACTATGTGAAAAGACCAAATTTACGTTTGATAGGTGTACCTGAATGCGACGGAGAGAATGAATCCAAGCTGGAAAATACCCTTCAGGATATTATTCAGGAAAATTTTCCTAAACTAGCAAAGCAGGTCAACATTAAACCCCAGGTAATACAGAGAACACCACAAAGATATTCCTCAAGAAGAGCAACCCCAAGGCACATAATCGTTAGATTCACCAGGATTGAAACGAAGGAGAGGATACTAAGGGCAGCCAGAGAGAAAGGTCAGATTACCCACAAAGGCAAGCCTATCAGACTTAGAGCAGATCTGTCAGCAGAAACTCTACAAGCCAGAAGAGAGTGGGGGCCAATATTCAACATCCTCAAAGAACAGAACCTTCAGCCCAGAATTTCATATCCAGCCAAACTAAGCTTCACAACTGAAGGAAAAATAAAATCTTTTATGAACAAGCAAGAACTCAGAGATTTTATTACAACCAGGCCTGCTTTACAAGAGCTTCTGAAAGAAGCATTACACACAGAAAGAAACAACCAGTATTAGCCTTTCTAAAAATACACCAAAAAGTAAAGAGCACCAACATAAAGAAGAATTTACACCAACAAATGGATAAAACAGCCAGTCAACATCAAATGGCAGAAACCCTAAATTTAAATTGACTAAATTCCCAATCAAAAGACACAGCCAAAACCCAACGGCATGTTACATCCAGACCTGTTTCACATGCAAGGATACACAAAGACTCAAAACAAAGGGATGGAGAAAGATTTACCAACCAAATGGAGAGAAAAAATAAATAATAAATAAATACAAAGCAGGAGTTGCAATTCTTGTATCGGATAAAATAGATTTTAAAGCAACAAAGATATAGTGGTAAAAGGATCAATGCAACAACAAGAGCTAACAATCCTAACACCCAGATACATAGAGACTTAGACACAATGAGACAGAAAATTAATAAGGATATCAAGGACTCGAACTCAGATCCGGAACAAGTAAACTTAATAAATATTTATAGAGCTCTCCACTTCAAATACACAAAATATACATTCTTGTCAATACCACATCACACCTACCCATTAGTTTAAATGAAACATTGATTGGCCATTATTAATACCCAATTTTTTTCAAAATAAAGCAATATTTCCATTTACTCTCCCTCTTTCTCTTCCTCTTTCTTCCTCTCCTTTACTTATTTTTTTTTCTTTTTTTCTTTCCTTCTCTCAAAAAAAAAGAAATCAACTTGTAAACCTCTAGATCCAGGTCGGCAATGTCTCTTTCATTGCTTGATCTCCTTTCTTCCCTTCCCTCCCTCCCTCCCTCCCCGCTTCCTCCCTTCCTTCCTTCCTTCATCCCTTCCTTCCTCCCTACCGTCCTTCCCTTCCTTCCTGCCTTCCTCCCCCCACCAAAAAAATAAAATAAAATAAAATAAAATAAAATAAAATAAAATAAAAAGTTAATTTTGTTTATGTGAATCTCACCTCAATATTTTTTTAAGTGAAGAAGTCTCTTTCTACAAGTTAGACTTTCCATCACCCAAACCAAAATACCTATTCATATGTTCTTCACTTTATTTTGTTTATTTATTTATTTTGAGACAAAGTCTCACTCTATCACCCAGGTTGGAGTGCAGTGGCATGATCTCAGCTCACTGCATACTCTGACTCCGGGTTCAAGCAATTGTCATGCCTCACTCTCCTGATAGCTGGGATTACAGGCATGAGCCAGCACAACTGGCGAATTTTTGTATTTTTAGTAGAGATGGGGTTTCACCGTGTTGGCCAGGCTGGTCCTGAACTTCTGACCTCAGGTGATCCACCTGCCTCGGCCTCCAAAGTGCTGGGATTACAGACATGCACCACTGCGCCTGGCCTCTTTACTTCTCTCCTTCCCTCCCTCCCTCCCTCCCTTCCTTCCTTCCTTCTTTTTGATGGAGTTTTGCTCTTGTTGCCCAGGCTGGAGTGCAATGGCCACAACCTCTACATCTTTCACATTCAGAACTACTCTATTCAAGGGGTTCTGAAGGGCTAGGATGATCAAGAAGCACTGAAAAGATTATTTATCATTAAAGAAAGATTTGATTATACCCAGAGCTATTATAAGCAGCAGAGCATACCATCGGTATTAGAAATATTTCCAACATGGCTTAAAACAAAAAGAGTTTCTCAGGCTGGATGTAATCTCAACACTTTCAGAGGCCAAGATGGGAGGATCACTTGAGACCAGGAGTTCAAGACCAGCCTGGCCAACATGGTGAAACCCCATCTCTACTAAAAACACACAAAAAATTAGCCAGGCATTGTGGCTCATGCCTGTAATTCCAGCACTTTGGGAGGCTGAGGCAGTTGGATCACTTGAGGTCAGGAGTTTAAGACCAACCTGGCCAACATGGTGGAACCCCATCTCTACTAAAAATACAGAAAGTAGCCAGGCATGGTAATGGGCACCTGTAATCCCAGCTATTTGGGAGGCTGAGGCATGAGAATCACTTGAACCCAGGAGGCGGAGGTTGCAGTGAGCCAAAATTGCACCACTGCACTCCAGCCTGAGAGACACAGTGAAACTTCATCTCAAAACAAACAAACAAAAAAAAGGGGGGTTCCTGTCTAACTCCACCTAACTTGACATTTAAATTTATTCGAATATTTCAGCTTCCAAGTATTTGGGGTATATGATATTTTCCTGTGTACTAGAATCCTCAATAGAGTAAAAATACTGTTTTGAGACCTGTAAGCTTCCTTACTGTCTTCTCAACAAGTTGTGGTAAGTGAGAGAGCATTCAAGTCCTGGCTCTAGTACTAGTTACGTGGTGACCAAATAGCAAGTCACTTACCCTTCTCAGCCTCAGTTTCCACAACTGTAAAATGGGGGTGATAACTAGCCAGAGTTGGTGTGAAGAGTTAATACCATGCCAAAGGACTGTACAAATATCAGATTTTTTTTTATGTCAGAGATTTTTATTACCTACTCCAGTGTTTTACAAGTAGTAGGTGTTAATGTTTGTTTAATTCAATTGCATAATGATCTTAGGGATACAAAGCTAATTTTACTTTGCATTGATTAAATTAAGCAGGCACTTTCTCTCAGAAATTGTCTCAGGAAACAAACTAAATATCTGGTATACTAGAATTTTTGGAATAAGTTATAACAGAGTTATGTTGTATTTACTGCAAATGCCACTAATGAGATATGCTAGTGGGAAAAGTGTTCCTTTTCCAGAAGATAAATGAAACTTTCTCCCATGATTAGAACTACTTTGTAAGCCACATCTTTGTGTTTGCAGAACTCCTTAAAAATGTGAAAAAGTTAATGAATGCCAGCAGGTGAGAAGTTTAGTTCTTTTCCCTGGCAGGAATATTAATCACTATTATTATCAGCTCAGTAAGTCCTTGACTTTATTTGCTTTATTATTTGCTTTCTCCAGATTAAAATGGAACATACCCCTCTTAAAATATATTTATATACAAGAAGGCCATAATACTGGGAATGGAAGAATTCCTGACTAGAAGGCAAAATTAAGTTCTAGACCTCATTTTCCTGTTAACGTAATAGGGAGATGTGTGCAGCTGCTGGCTTTGGGGAGGGAAACGTATGTTAGAGTAAAGTGTTGATTGTCTACTGCTTTACTGCCTAATAAGGAAAGCCAGCATCTTTCCAAAAGGTAGAATTTCAGGATCCCAGACGAGGCAGCCATGCTTCCTAAAACATCCACCATTAGAATTATTCCTTGGGGTTTAATAGAGTCTTTAGAAATGCCTTACTAAAATGTGGATGTTGTCAAATGCTATATTAGCACAGAAATCTTTAAAAACTGGTGCATGATCATGGTAGATACTAAGGGAATAGCGTCTTGGATCACAGACAGAAAGACAGAAAAAATTTCAGCTTTTGGGAGGCCAAGAACAGATATGTTATTTGGGAACCTAAGATGTCAGGAGAGCTTTGGGTATCTCAGGGAGGAAAGGTTCATGGAAATGGAGGCAACAGTCATCCAAGGCCATACGATATGCCTCCTTAACCCAGGATTCCTCATGTAATTCATTTAAAACATAATCAATTTGCAGTTAAGAAATAATAGGTGATAGAATTAGCAATAGAAAAAGTAATTTTTGTTCATAGCAGTGGAACGAAGTTTCCCACTGTGGGACACACTGATACTTTAAATCACAAAAGTTTACATATGTATATGGTGAGAAGGAGAGAGACAGCTTAACATAACTCATCATTGAACTGTAGTTTAAATAAATGTATAACAATGTGTCCAGAAAAAAAAAAGAAAAGAAAAAGTAATTTTTTTAGAGACAAGGTCTCACTCTGCCGCCCAGGCTAGGGCACAACAGTGCGATCATAGCTCACTGCAGCCTTGAACTCCTGGGCTCAGGTGATCCTCCTACCACAGCCTCCTGAGTAGCTGGGACACAGACACCATGCCTGGCTAAATGTTTGATGTTATAGAGACGGGGTCTCACCATGTTACTCAGACTGGTCAACATAGGTTCCTTCTGGCTGCAAGTGATCCCCCCCACCTCGACCTCCAGAGTGCTACAATTACAAGTGTGAGCCACCACACTTGCCAAAAAAGTATTTTAACCCAAGTATTTATTAAGCATCTATCAAGAGGAGATTGGCATTACTCAATGGAGTATGTGACCTTCATCCTACAGGATCATATAATTCTTGAAGAATCTTTTCGCTCCCATTTTTTCTTGGTACTACCTCTTCTCTCTCTGAACAAGAAACTCAATAAGAATTTCATTTACAATTTTTTATGCCTATTGTTCTCTCTCTTAAGACATTATTGACAAGTCAGAAAGGGCCAAAGATTTACCAGAAGTTATCAATAAGAGATGTACAGATAGATAACAGCTATGAAAAATGAAAAATAAAAAATTCACAAACCAAATACAAGTACATACAATTATCTACTTGTACATAATTACAAGTAGATAATTAACCTCCTATAGGGAGGAGTCGTGAATGATAGCTACTAAATGATAATTAAACATTGCCAAACTCTGAGTTTGATGTTCTGCAATGGGCATCCAAAATCAAGTTAGGAAGGAAGGCAGGGAAGTGTCTTAACCAGAAGGACAAATTGCAGAAGACTGATTTTCGTTTCTGCTTTAGAATTATTTGCTTTCTCCAGATTAAAATGGAACATACCCCTCTTAAAATATATTTATATACAAGAAGGCCATAATACTGGGAATGGAAGAATTCCTGACTAGAAGGCAAAATTAAGTTCTAGACCTCATTTTCATGTTAACGTAATTGACAAATGCAGTGAAAGCATGGGACTTCTAAATATTATGTTGTGTTTTGGAATTGTAAACAGCTTTAGCAACAGGAGGTTAGAAATAAGGACAAATGAACCTCCCAGTGAATACCAAGCAGACAGTTCAGAACGAAATCGGCTGTTGGCACAGATGTAAGTAGACATAACTTTGGGTCTTTAGGGCTTCTATCAGCAGGTGTATGTGTTTGGTTTCATACAGTAATGAGTACAGAAATCTAAAAATTGACTTGTTAGTCTATCATGGCCTTCCTCTAAACTATGTTATGTACTTCCCCATATTATTTCATATAAATGTAGTCATAAAACCTAGGAAAATCTGTTTT